GTTGAAGGCAATCAGTAGGAAACCTTGCCTGATCTAGATTTCATGCTAGTTGACACTCAGCTGAAAAAGCACATGCGTTCTTTCAAGGTTGCAGATATACCTTGCCAACAAGTGCCAACTAGCACAAAGCCTAGGCCCAAAGCTTCCTATACCCGATCGCCTCCTACCATGTAATACAGTGCTGTTTGTGAGTCGCATTCTTTATCTACCAAATAGATATATACAATGAGATAGCAAAGCAAAGAAACGTTACATTAAAATTTTCATTCGTACAAGTTAATCATGTTTTGGCTGTGCTTTGGCCTTCTTTTCATGACTCTTACATCCTGTTTTATAAGAATTTTTCATTTCTCCTGTACTCGGTTCCATCGATGTCTTTACCATTCAAAATTCTTCCCAGTAGCCCATGCTATGACTCGTTCCATTAACAAAATGTATTGAGGGAAATAACTTCGGCCTTCTTGGTGTTACCCGGTTTTATTAAGATTTGCTGCCGACTTCTTCAACTCACTCTATCCATCTTTAAAAGTCAGCTGGCATTGACACGTTTCTAATTTGTCCCCTTTCCTGATAAGCAAAGAACATCCTTGTCGATAATTTCCTCCTCTTCCGGTTCTACAATTATATACACGTATATGTTTATATACATAGAATATTCTAGAATAGTAGTCAATAACAATATTGGCGTGTTTTTTAAATAATATCGATTTGTTAAGTAAAATCATAATGGAATTACCACAGTTCATTAAAGATGCTCAAATTATAATAATAATAATAAAGATATAGTAGCAAATAGAATATGAACTAAAATAAAGAAATTTCTATAAAACTTTGAGCATCATTCGAACCTAGATGGCCAAGATAAGGACAATGTCTGAACTAGCTTCTTTTGGATGCATGAACTAGGCTTCTTAATGTGGATCTTAACAGCCTCAGTAATATTTAGTAAACGAACTCTTGAAGCGAAGCTGAAATTTCTTGGCATGTGGTAAATGACTTTGAAAGCTGCCTCGTTGACATCAATCTTGTGTTCTGTATCCACAAGATAAGATAGAAGAGCGCTATGTGAATAGATTTTGTTTGTTAACCGACCACGCAGGATGGTATTCGGAAATTCGGCAAGAAACATGCCTAATTGTACGGCCTATGTAACTGACTCACTTCACAGGAACAGTTAAATTGGTCTGTCTGTCTGTTTTCGACATAGAACTTTGCACAAATGTGCGGAAGTTCAAGTCGCCACACTCCGTGTAGCACGCGAAGCAAGCAAGAGAAGAAAGTACAAGAAAAGAATAACAGAAACAGTGAGCAGAGGTGTGAGATAAAGGAGGAGTAATAACGAAGAACAAAACAGTTTCATTGGAGATCATAAGTCACAAGGAGTGGATGCATCTGTGCCACTGAGAACGATTTTGAGCCATGTCACCAATTGTTTCCAACCATAGATTTTTACCGTCCCGAGGATCCCAGCCTGGAAGTCTACACCTTCCTACGTGGCTTAGACCAACTGTTGTGGATTTCATTGACTGGTGTCAAGTTTTTGTTTGACCGCCGCTAGCTTTTTTCCAGCCTGACCCTATATCCGCTAACATTGCTCGTCGAGGGAGGCGATGACTTGGCATACGTAACACATGTCCTAACCATCTCAGTCTTTGTAACTTCACGACTTCGTCGATTGATTTCCCCTGTTTACCTAGAACTCTACGCCTAACCCCAATGTTGCTCACCTTATTATGCCACTTTATACGGGAAATAGATTGGTAGATACACATGGAAGAGGAGAAATGAGGCAGTATATCTTTTGCTTCCGAAAGCAAAAGAGGGCTGGTTTTGAAGGCACAGTGCAATTCGTCAGCAGGGAATGATCTTTTTACCGCATTTCTAAGGCGCTGTGTTGGTATCTCGCTGATGTTTTCCCCAAGGAACTAAATTTGTAAGAATAAGGCCTTTCTTTTTCGGAACTGTTGGTAGCTTGGGCTGCTTTGATTTTAGATTCATATTCTTATCAGTAAACTTTTCTGGATAGTCATTTTTACTCAACAACCGTTTAATATTATTATTAAGTTCCTCATCAAGACATTCATCCGAGCAAATTGCTCTTGCGCTGTGAACCAAGCACACTTTATCAGATTTCATTTGTATCCAACTCCAAACTTTATGTACTTCTTCTTCTCCCTCTGGTCAAATTTTTCTTCGTCAGTCACTCCGTTTACCGACTCTCCATACCTCAGTGTTGGTTGATGCGGTCAGGTCTTATTGTGTGTGTATTGGTCACCTCCTATACATCAGTACAGAAACGCTAAAAGGATCACTAATAGTATACGTATTGTTCTATGCAACACTATTTGATTTGGGTCATATTTCAATCCGTGAAGGTGGCAAAGCGGCTAGGACTGTGGCCGACCATGTACATGGTCCAGGGTTTGATTCTCTGACGACGCACACCTGATATCTATGGTCGGCCTGCTAAATTTGGGCTACTGATATCATATGCTGAAAATTTCATACTTGTACTAAAAATACGGTGTGGAATCAAGCTGTAATCAAGATTTTAAAAAAATTACATCGCGGTAGGTTGGAATTTACGCGGGAGAGTATTAAACTACGCTTTATTATCGCGCAATCGACTATTTCAAAGCAGCAATAGCAAAATTGGATACAATACAACAAAATTGAGAAAAAGAGAAAGGGGATGAACGACAAAATACTCTTCTCCCCCACACACCCCACCCCCAATTTAATGATCTAGTTTCAAGGAAGGCAGAAAGATTTTCTTAGCGAGTTGAAGTTGAATTAATTTTCCTAATTGTTACATTTATAGACTATGCGCATGGAATGTTTCGGTAGAAATAGTCAATTATACCAGGAAAAAAGTTGTTACATTAACATACTACAGGGGAATTTAAGCAATTAACCCTGAATATTTTATGCATGATGCTGTATACTACTGATTGTTTAATATAAGTAGATGACTGACTTATCAACTGGTTTCAGCATAGAACTTTGCACTGACTTACAGCATTTTGAGTCACCGTACTTCCTTCTTGTAGCACACAAAGCAAGAGCAAAATAGAGACAGTAAACAGAGATACGAGGCAAAAATAATAGTAATATAGAAGAACGATACAGTTTTATTGGGTATTATAAGTCACAAGGAGTGGATGCATCTGAGCCAGCCATTGACAACGAGGATTTTGAACCATACTACCGATTGTCTCCAGCGTTCATTGGTTTCTACAGTACCAAGGACCACAACCAAGAAGTCTGTACCTTTCTAGGGGGTTTAAACTAACTGTTGTGGATTTGACTGACTGATGAAGCCAAGATTTGTTTTGACCACCACTACTCACTACTGTTACACCCCTGTTCCCCAGCAGCACAACTTCGCCCTCGGACTCTCAGCATAGTATAAGAAAGATTCCTACACTAGGCAGGTAACTACTTTTAGTCTAATCGCTATCCTAACAACCTTCCTGGCATGGTAGAACCTGCAGGAACATTGGTTCCAAAGAGTGCAGCTTGTTGGGTCATCGCGATGTGTAAGCACGACCATCACGTCAAGGTAGTAGCTATCGTTTGGGACGGGAGAGCTGTTTTTGCTTGGCTTGGGACTCTTCAGTTGTACTCATCTATGGCACTGTTTGAGGTCAGAGCGATATCACGAATCGCCAAGGACAAAATTCACAGGTTATAGGATTCTAGCCCAAGTGACTGAACGGTAAACGGGCTTGGTCTAGTAACTTAAAGATGACGACATCTATCCCAGGTTAGGTTGTGGTTTTTCAATGCACTCTCTGATTGATAGACATTCGTGAAGAAATCCACATTGAAATTATCATCAATACTATTATTTCAAGACTTCATTATGCGCTGACATCAATTAGAGAACCATTGGAAAACCTGAGGTACTGGATGGCTGTTTCGTCCCACTTCAGGACTCCTCCACAGTACCTGCCCACCAGGATTCGAATCCAGGATCAATAGTTCCAAATGGCTCTCTAACTGATGTCAGCTCATGATGAAATCTTGAAGTCAAACAAATCCCTTGAAACCAACGCTCAAAGAATAATGTTATTGTTAACTTACCCCAATATTTCCTGGATTGATTGTTTGACTTGTATATTGAAGTTCTTGTGGCCTTAACTGTTGTGGATGGTGCTGGTGTTGTTGCTGATGATGGGGAGGAGGAGGTGGAGGTGGTTGGGGTGGGGGTACTGGAGGTGGTTGTGAAGGTGGAAAAGACATCTGATGATTGGTCATTTGATGAGCCGATCTTTCTTGAAATGTTGATCCTGCCAGGTAACCCGGATAATTTGATTGTTGACCCATTGATGAAGATGGTAAGGAGTGATGGTTGGTGAGTTGCACTTTACCCATAGTTGTCGAAGTCGTTGTCGTCATCGATTGATCATAATTCATAGGACTTGCATAACACTTTTGAACAGTTTGTGGTTGTGGTTGTTGCTGGTGTTGATATTGATTTAATGTTCGTGACGGATGACCAAAGTTGTCTGAACATATGGTGGAATTGGGTAAATTAGTTAAATATTTGTTATCAGCCTTATTCATATGACTACTATTATCATAACTGTCAGGATAAGTACTCATCACATGGTTCCCTTGCAGGGCAGTTTGACTATGTGATGAAAAATTCAAATACTGGGCACGATCAACAACTTTGACTGGGGAATCTTTAGGCCTTACATTGGCTGATGAGGGCATGTTGTTGTTGTTGTTGTTGGAGTGTTGGTAGAAATTCAGCTGACGAGGCATTGGTATGCCTGATGAAGATGGCGACAGACTTCCTGATGAAGATGAAGAAATTATTGTCTGATTAAGGTGACTAGAAGTTGTAACTGTAGTTGCAGTAGTAATAATTGTAGTTGTACTGCCTGTAGGGATGTTTGATTTCAGCGCTGCCTGGGCTGAAGGATCTAATGACTTTTTTGAATCACTTGATAAACTTTTGTTATTGGAGAACTTTTTAGATGGTAGAGAGTTTGGAGGATGAATAGTTTTTGTTTTCGTTGATGGTTTGATATTGAGATCTGAATTTTTGAAAAAAGTGACAAAAACAAAGAAGTGAGAAAAACGGATGACAGAAAGGCGAAATTTTTCAAAAATGTTAAACAATTAAAGTTAATTTTGTAATTCCCGTTTAATGATTATTTTTGACTGAAATGTTGTGTCCTCTTTGTCGACATTTCTGCTCCTAGTATAGACACTTCGATGATGTCTAGGAATATTTTGATTGGATGTGTCTAGTCCTCTGTTCGGTGCAGACTGAATTCTATCAGTCATTCAGGTTTGCAATATGGCCACCATTCTAGATAGCTTGCCATCACGGTACACATTGATTTGACGATATTAGATGGTTGGAGGCAATCGGCAGGAAGTCTTGGACACCACCGAGGTTTCGTGCTAGTTGATTGATAGGATTCAGTCTGCACCAAAGAAAGAACAAGACACATTAAACTAGTTACTAGTGTCCAAACAAAATACCCACTACAGACAGTCCTACAGGAGGTCAATCGCGTGCCTGATTAGCTCAGTGGTGGTAATGTCTCTGACTCATTTCAGCACTCACTGGGTGACGTGGGTTCGAATCTCCGAAGGAGAGACATGAGTTCCTTCAAGTTGGTTGCAGATACGCCTTCCTGACTGACTTGTGAGTGCCAACTAGCACGAAACCAAGGTGGAAGGCTTATTGTGGCCGATTACCTCCAACCATCTAATATGTTTGAGAACTAATCGCATCGTTATTTGATGGATGGTGACTAGCGGCGGATTATTGGATAACCTTTTAGCGTTTAAAACGATGAGCATTGAGGTCGAGTCTCAGGGTTAACCATCAGCATTCACTGGTTCGAAAACAGAAAGAAACACGCGTCAAGGATCCCTCTAATAGCTACAATCAATCAAGCAAGTTCGAAATATTATTCCTGCCAATATAGACGCGTCGTTTCAAGGAGATTATATGTATATATATAAAATCGATACTTATCAATTAGGTTCAGGTATATTGACGGGAAATCAGCAACGTCATCGAAGAAAGCATAAAATGGCAGTCAAATCTCTCTCTACTTCAACTTCATCGACTTTAAAAAGTCCTTCAACAGAGTTGACCGCGAATTAATTTGGAAACTGCTTCAACACTACCCCGTGAAGTGCCCAAATCTTTATCAACCACATTCAACAGCTGGCTATATGACAGCGCTACATGTCAGGTGATCCACAAGGGAAAACTCAATGAATCCTCTAAAGTGAAATAAAGGAGTAAGACAAAAACTGGCCGCCTAATGTCACCGATGATATTCCTAATTGTAGTGGACTGGACTTTGCGTTAGACTGTGCGTTAAGAGTGAGCAAACAGGAATACACTGCACTGACCGATAGGGAGACTCTAGAAAATCTGGATTTCGCGCGTGGATGATTTATCTCCACTATCATACAAAGTAAAAGACTTACAGGCGAAAACTAACGAACTGGTTAAAGATGCAGGCTGTGAAGGCAGGACTGTAGGTGAACTCAGAAGGGGTGGAGGTAGTGCAGATAAGCGACCAACCACAGTAACAACAACCAGCATCAATCAACATCAGCAGGAGAGAGAATTGAAAGAGGTTACTTCCTGGTTTCACTTATCTAGGAAGCATCGTTTAAGCTACAGACAATGGGAGGGGTTGAAGATATCAGAGCCGGAATTGGAAAGGCAAGATACGCTTTCATCAACCTGAAACCAGTTTGGAGGAAATGTTCTGCACTCAGTCATTATAAGGAACAAGATTTGGAATGTATTCAACAGTGAAATGTGAAATCCGTTCCTAGATATGAGTGAGAAACTTGTCCTGTGAGTCACGAAAAGTATTTTCAACAGGCCACTGTAGACTTTCATCAACAGCTGCCTCCTTCTCTGGTTCTGTATTGAAGACCAAATGCCCAGAACCGATTAACCACAAGCGACTATGTAGAACGAACTAACCAAGAACCTATGCAGGAGAAAATGGAGATAGGTGGGAAGTACGCGGGGGGGACCATCGACTGGCGACAGGTTCTTGTTTTGTTTGTTTGTTCCCATAGTTTCTTGTTGGTGATTATTTCCGGCCTGGCCATCTGATCTTCACTATAGAGCTAGTGAAGATAGTTGTTGGTTGATAAAGGTCTGCAACAGGCTATTGGAAATATTCTTTGTGATCCACCCGCCAACTTTCTGATCTGTATAGAAGAACTGACTGACTTGACGTTGTTTGTATTGAAAATCCGACTGAATTTTATTGTTGATGCTGGCTGAGTGACAAAGATTTCCAGATTGATTTCAGGTTGATGAATTTGTCTCTCGTGTACCTTCCCCATTCTCGCTCGATTTGACATCCTCGTCCGTTCCGACTTTCTGTGGTTGAAACAATGCCCCGTAGATAAATGAATGAAGTAACCTCTTTCAAATCCCTCCCGTTGACAGTGATTGGCGCTGGATGTTGCTGCTGTTGTTGTTGGTTGGTTGGTTGGTTATTTTCATAACCTCCGTCTTGTCTATGTTCACATGGATTCCTGTCTTCACCGGCTGCTTCTTCGACCAGTTTGTCGGTCTGTTTTCGCTTGTAAGTCTTCTATTTTGTTTGAAATCAAACATAAATCATCGCCACGCGAAATCCAGGTCTTCTATGTCCTTCACGTCGGTTGGTCCAGGATATCCCTGTCTTCTCGTTTCCCACTGTTTGACGCATAATCCAGTCCACCACAATTAGGAATATCACTGATGATTGCCATCAACTATCTAATATCATCAAATCAATATGCATAGTGACGGCCAGCTACGTAGTGCCATGGTGGCAACATTGCAAACTTGACCGATAGAATTCAGTCTGCATCAAAAACATCAAGGACTAGACACGTCACACTAGTTACTAGTGTCTAATCAAAAATCATATATGTAATCAAACTTAATAGCTCTATGATGGCTAATACGAATGTGGGATCATGCTTCAAAGTTGCGTAGTAGAAGTCAATATAATTATTAAAAAATCAATATATTCCAAAAATTTTCTTCATCTGAACTTTTTATTTTTTTTTATTTTGATTATAGCTTGATGCCACACCGTATTTTCGGTACAAGTATGAAATTTTCAGCATGTGATATCGGTTGCCGAAATTTTTCAGGTCGACCATAGTTATTGAGCGTGGGTCAGCAGGGTATCAAACCCTGGACCATGTGCATAGTCAGCGAGAGTCGTAACCACTGTGCCACCGACGCACAAATGACTTATTAAAAAAACGGTGTGATTGGTTATCACTCATGTCAGAAGTGAACCTCCACCTCTCTGACTAGATGTAACGCAACTGTAGACAGACTCTCGAATATTATGTATTCTCCTCATTATATTTATTGTCTGAATACTTTATTAAACTTTATCTACAAAGGCTCTATTTGAATCCATCAAATTAATTCATTATCAGTCTTTGTAAACACACACAGACATATTGAACACATTGAAAACATTGAATACATTGGACATATTGAATGAGATCAATAAAAACTGGTTGTTGCACAGACAAATAAACACATAAATAGACAAAGATAATTTTTTAAAAAGAGACAATGTGAAAATTCATTCAATTTATCTATTTATTTATTCTTTATTTATTTTGTAGCTGTTTTCAGTGATTCATTATTATTTATAGGTTGCCTACGATTGAAGTTTATTTTCAATTCTGGTGCCAAACTCTCCTTACCCACCCCACCCGTCGGCCTCCTCCGTCCCCACGGATTTCATTATTTCTATCCAGTTCTATAGTATGCTTAAGTTTGATTTTGAATAAAGCAAGAACAACAGTGAGGGGGGTGGGTTTTGCAGAATAAGAAGATGGTACCATCATTGTTTACTTATTTCGTTGGTTTCTCATCAGCTGCTTACAGGCCAAAGTCATTCATTATTAAGTATATCTACAGAACGAATTTTAACATACTTGCTCATTGCATTGCAGCAGTAGTCAACAAAAGACTGCGTACGTCATTAGCCAGAGCGTATTCTACAGATAAGTTCGTCCCCGTCTATCGAACAGCTTGCTTTTTGGTGCAATCAAAAATCGATAGATATCCTTCTCATGTTAACAACTTCTGTGGTGAGAGCAGGCTACTAGCCAGTTGGCAGACATTAATTTAGGTCGATGTCTATGTCGTTAATATGAACAAGACTGATTCAACAATCGATCACAGCAGACTTAACGTGGGCAAATACGATTCGCAGATATATGGCTTAACTTTCTGAGAAACCAGTCACAAGCAGTACAGAATAACCTTGAACAAGAAACAACCAATCAGAAGACTGTGCTTGTCTGCTTGAATAAGATATAATAATGTACATGAAATATGTATATAAATACGTGCTGATTTCTGTAATAAAACGATCTGTTGCCTGGCCCTTGTCTTCTGTTGTTACACTTCAACTGTATATACAAATTTACTTGTATATGCAGGATCAGTTACATTGAAAGAACAGAAAGAAGAAGGGAAAATCTACGGTTTTCTGAACATGTACCATAAAGCTTATGTCCAAGGGAAACAAATGCTTTAAACAATGCCATGGCAAGGCATCTCCTTGACACGGGTTATGAGGTGGACCTCGTAAGATCCTTCAAAATCATCAATAGGCGCAAAAGAGTTCATTTCCTCTGAAGTTTTGCTGAAGCTATCTCCATCAAACGCCTGAAACCTGATTTATGCGTTCAGAAAGAAACAGTTATCAGTCTTTCTTTGCCCTGCCTGGTAATTGGATATTGTCATCTCTCTATCATCTGAATACGTAATGCCGAAAGTTTCCATTGTGTATGATCATTATTGTTCGGAATAGTGTTGAATATTATATATATATATATATATATATTATTACCGTATGCATATAGAGATTGATTGATTTTTGTTTAAAATAAACTCCGCGTGCAAGTATGTTAGAATTGTTTCTGTAGATATACTTAATAATGAATGACTTTGGCCTGTAAGCAGCAGGTGAGCTGATGAGAAGCCAACGAAATAAACAATGATGGTACCATTTTA